AATGAGCATCTTTATCATTAATATCATCAATGTTCGTCATCTATTCCGTAAATGTTCCAAGGCCGCTCATGATCGTCAGCACGGCTGATATACTAGTTTTACACTCTACAGAGGTTGTACACTTTCACTATGAGTAATGATTTACCCTTTCGCCCGAGGTGATCAGCCTCTTGACCCACTACCAAGGAAGGTCGGCAAGGTTCACTATGAAGCCTTTCAAAGGTTCGTCTAACAAGTTAGGGCCATTAGATTCACTCGGCAAATAGATGTAGAGCTCACCTTCCTGATGGCATAATGACGCGCAACCTATACACAAGGGGACAGAGGCCGCACTATACCTGATTTGGCAAGCCATTCTTACGCCAATAAAGGTAACCACTAACAAGTTAGAAAAGGTCCTCATACTGAGCTAAAGCCGGAGCCATACAACCCTCACAGTTGTACTGTAAGTCTCGGATGATCACTTATAGATAAGTCCTTAGGGAGAGGAATCTAGAGCACCATAAAAACAACCCAATGCTCTAGCCCCCCTGATTTCATGTTGCTAAAAAGCATCTTTTAGTGTTTATTGCATTTACCATTAGTCAAATTACAAGATTATGGTTTCAGTTGAGCACTAGCATCATACTAACCAATGCAATACCCCATAGGTGTTAAGGTACAAGGTACAAAGTACTAGGAAATCCTTAGTGGTAGTCAAGGTAGACACATGCAGTATGAATTAAATGATTAAAGGTGTATAGGACAACAAGGAAGATCCCATGCTATACTTGCCTTAAAATTAGATCCTTCTTCCAATCCAAATTTTCAAAGATCTGCTTCTTGATTCAACACGTAAAGCTCACTGACTAGACAAGATAATAAAGCACCACACAAGCATCTATGCAATCATACACGAAGCAAACAATAGGTCTAAATTTGAACAGTGCACCAAACATAAAATCAAGATGAAAAGCTTGTAAAACCAATCTACGTCTTGCTATGAACACACAGACGCGAAAAACACTCTAATCGGGGCTACGGTGAAAAAGATACATCAACCGATAGATTTGCTTTATACGTGGAAAAAAAACTACAGGCTTCATTTATTTTAACTATATAAATTCATATATATAAGATATAATATAGATTGAATTAAGTCAATTTTAGATTTGATTTATAAAACTAAAGTAAAACAAATCATATTTTATTTATAAAATCCAATTGCATAATTATTATTCAAATTAGAGTTTAAACCATGAAATTCTAGAAATAGTAACATGGTAACCGCTGTTACTAACGCGTAGATGTCGTTGCAATGAATCTAGCACAACTTGAATAGGTCAATTCAGAGCTAAAACGTAGAAGATATGATTTAAACAAGATTTTCTTTAATAAAATAATAGATTAAATCTAACCTCGAATTTTAAAAGTTTAAAACCTACTCAACAGTAGTATGAACATGTAGATTATGGAATTACGAGCCTCACACAAGTTGAACGGATCAAATCGGAGTTACTGCGGAGATTTTATGGCTAAAACAAGATTAGTGGCAAAACTATAAATAAGTGAAAACGTATTTTGGATCTAAACCGAATAAACTACGCTTTCCAAAGAAGAAAACGTAATATCTGATTGCACTATGGACCGTGGGTTCAGATCCAAATAGTTGTAAGGGTGTTTTTTGCAAAAACGCCAACAAAGGGGTATCAAGCCTTATTGGCTGTTAGATCTGGATTGGACGGTCTGGATTAGAACTGAGAGGGGAACTGGGGAACATATTGCCAAAACAGTGGCCAAGACGGTGGTTGGCATCGCCGGCGACGAGGGAGCTCACTGGTGTTCATCAAAACGACCCTAAAGGCCACGGCTGGACCTAGGGATAGCACGGGAAGAAAGAGCGGGAGACGACGAACTCACCAAGGCCAAGGATGACGGCGCGGAGCGGATGACGACGGTGCTTCGCTTGGCGGCGGTAGGTTGCGGCGTGTGGCTGCTTGCGCTCGGGCGATGCAGTGGCTTGCAATCAGGTTAGGTGAGGGAGGAGAAGCTCAGGCGCTATTTATGGGACCGAAGAGCGTGGGGCGCACGGCAAGCGAGTGAGGCAGGGCGGCGTGGGACTCCCGGGTGGCGACAGAGTCTGGGCAGGATACGTGCTGGAGAAGGCGGACGGAGCTGACAGGCGGGCCCAGGGTGGTAGCGGGGCAAGCGGAGAAAGGAGAGGCGCGGGCGCTCCTACTTATTGAAAGCAGCCCGAGCGCCATGGCTGGCTGCATGATGGGCCGACCAGGATGGCTTCTTTGGGCAGCATGTGATGGAGAGAAGGGAGCTGGGTCTACACACGGAGGAAACAGAGGCAGGCCGGGGAAGAGAGAGAGAGCAGACGAGCTGGGCCGAAAGAGGGAGAACAGGCTGGCTGGCCAGGATGGGGAGAAAAAGATTTTTTCTTTTTATTTTGTTTTCCTATTTCCAAACCACATTCAAATATAAACCAAATGCAAGTTCAAATAAAGTTTTGAATATACTTTTCAATTCAAATAAAAGTGAGCAAATTTTAGTAAGTTTTCAAAAATAATTTCTACAACTTTTTAAATTCTTTTATTTTCTAATTTTCTTTTCTTTTACTTCAAAGCCATTTTTAATTTATTTCCAAATGCAATTTGAACCATTTTGAATTTTCAATCAAAACCACTCAACCAAATAAATCAAATGCAAGGGCATGTATGCTCAAACATGTTGCTACCTTATGATAAATTTTAATTTAATGAAAAAAATTATTTTCCTATGTTTTCATGAGCACAAAATTCAGAAATAAATCATTTTAAACCTGTTTTCAAAAGAGACAAATTTTAGGTGTTACAGTTATCAATGTGTTACTTACTAATCCAACCTAAAAAAAAGGCATCATTCATTTGTGCAATCCACTGACTAATTGATGTTACATCTTGTTCTTGCTCTTGAAGCACTTTTATCCAAAACTATGAGAGGTAATGCACAAAGTACGCATATGTTGCAAGTGACTTTATAGTTAGTTTACATATTTCCACATATTTTTTTCTCAAAAGTTAGCATGTAAGTTGCTTCTCCATACCAAATAGTAAAATGTGTTTTTATACCACTTTCTTCGGCTCACAAGCATGTTTAAAGAGACATTAATGTCAAAGAGGCATTCTCGTGTTGGAATTGACATAGTCACTAATTATCCGAAGGCTAAATCCTAACTCATGTTTACTCATTTGGTCTTCTATTTTATTCGGATGGAATTAATATATTCAGGAATTAGCCATATGAAATAGCGATAGTACCGAGTATTCTCTACATCTCAACATGATAAGTTCAACTTTCAATCAACCAGGACAAACGCTACAAAACATACAAACACTAGGTTTTCTACAGAGAAGTGAAGCTTGGGATTATCTTTGAAGTGGAACAAGTGATCAATCCTAAAGTCTGAAGTTGTAAAGCAAATTATTACAAAATCAACAAAACAACAATTTATTTCCAATGTATTATTTGGAAAACTAGGTCTTAAATTATCCTAAAATATTAAATATACTTTCCACAAATGGTTGGAACCACCAATTAGTTCTGATCGTGCACATAGGTTACAAAAAGATTTTGAATACGTTACAGTTGTGTTATATGTGGACCTTCACAACGTATTTATGTTACAAACTGGTTGTGATGTCTTGCAAGGTATCACAATGGGTTTATATAGCATGAACCAGTTATGATTAGTAGCATCACAACCATTTCTACCTCTAGACCTTTGGTCTAGTGTTATGGCCATTGAACCAGTATATATCGACACTAGTGACAACAAATTAAGGACAGGCGGTTTTGTAAAGGTTGTTTCTCTCATAGTTTCAAATGCGTACTTACATCTCACATACTAGTTTTGCATATGCAACGTTTATGTGTCTTCCTTCCCCCATGCTCTTTTCTTTACAAAAATATAATTGTTTATTGGCATCAATATTTAGTTGTCTACTCATCCCATGTAGCATGAGATGGTAATAGAGATGCCCCATGTATGAATAATCGTATAAAAGCTCATTCAAATATGAGAACCACATAGGCAAGGATGGTAATGGTAAGAAAAGTTGAGGAAAATAGGGCTGGTCCGAAAAAACAACATGCTAAACTATGATAAAACTATAGGAAAAGCTTACTAGGAACCAATAAAACCATATGAAGCTAGTAAACAACTCAGGTGGGCCAGTAGACATGGGGTATTGAACAAAGTGAGATATAGATGAATATGAGTACGTTATCCTTAGCTTATCTTGGAGTTGGGTCTTTACAGTTTTCTTTATTTTTAATTCAATAAAATAGTAGTCAATTTTCTAAGTTTAAGCTCCATCCTAATTGTCCAATTTACTCGCATTTGATCTAGATAAATCAAACGAGATATAATAGTTTAATTGCAGTGACTTTAAGCTGCTGTTGTATCATGGTCTAAAATTCCATATATCTACCTCCATAAAAAAAAAATCAACATCTCTTTTTTGGAGCGGTCAAAAAAATTTAAATTTGATATTTGTAGGGAAAAACATCAATATTTATATCTCTAAATAAATTTAATATAAAAATATATTTCGTACTTAATATAATGATATTTGTTCAGCATCATAAATATTAGTATATTTTTATATAGTTGGTTAAATTTAAAAATTAATTAACTTCTCAAAAAAGAGATATGTAATTTTTCAGGACAGAGTGAGGAGCCAATTGAAATATATAATCTCCTATCTTAAAAAGCTGAAAAAATATTCTCAAGCAAAATGAGACGAGTAAGGAGGATGTACCGGACCAAAGAAATGGGCTAGATACGGTGCAGGCCGTAAAATAAGTTTTCATTCAGAACCGAAAGCCAGAACCCATCAACGTCAACATGAACATCCACGGTGATTAGCTTTGGTGGACCAACCAATCATCACTGTCCCTGTCCTCTCCCATCGGCGGGGGTTAGCTCGCCGCCGCCGGTCCACACGCCCACCGTCTACTCCGTCTCGCCCGTCATGTCTGCCGCCGCAGTTGCTGCTGCCGCTCGGTGCGTCCCGCTCCGGGCGTCCCCGCCGGAGACCGAGAAGGCCCCCGCCTCCATCCCCACCTCCTCGGCCACCTCTGCATCTGCTCCCCTCCGCGCCGCCGCCGTCGCCGCGGGACCCGGCCGCCGGCTCCCGGCGGCGCCGCTCCGGTGCTCCTCCTCGTCGCCGGAGAACTCCGCCTCGCGGGATCTTGGCTTGCTCCTGGAGGTGGAAGGGTGAGGCCTTTAAAAATCATGTCTTTCTAGCGCTGAGTTCGTCGATTTCTTGTCTTATCCCAAAAGGAGCGCCTTTTCTGCTTCTTTAGTATGCTAATTGTTGAAGTTAGAGCTGTTTCTGCTACTGCCCATCTGGCCACGGGGATTAGAAAATTTCAAATTAGAACTGCTGTATGCAGACAAATGTTGAAAGTGGATGGAATTGGGTTTGCTCAGAGATAATTGGTGCAGACAAGTGCCACAGTCAAGCGATGTGGTAGTATCTGATTATTTCTTTGCGAACGCTTTCTCCATTGATTATTTGTAATAGCCGCACCATGCTTTCGTTGTTGAACCAATACTACTAAGCTTTTCTGAACTATTGTGGAATAGAGAATAGTGACATGTTTTCTTTCTCTCAGACTCCTCTGCTTTGCTGATCCCAGAACAATCTCTGTTTCTGATTGAGTATTTCTTGTTTCTGTTCCACCAGAGTTCTTGCGGATGTCTACCGTTTCGGCAATCGCCAAGCTTTCAATGTAGGTGCGAAACACAAAAATATACTTCTGTTCGTCACCCCTTACCAATTTCTATTGCACTGTATTTTACTCCAATATGGATACCATGCCAAGGTTGAAATGTAAAATAGTAAATTCTGTACATAAACAATGTAGGGGTCTAGCCTCTAGCAGGGTACAAGTCTACCTGCACAAGTATGAATGGTTCTTGCCTGTTGATTTTAATACGTTTTAACTTTTTTTTTCACCAGCATTTCGAAGCCTCGGGCTAGATTGTGCAAATTGGACAGCGCCAATATATGCTGATTTGGTGAGGTGCATATTGAATTCTTTATCCTTATCAAACTTGAGCATCACATGTCCTGCCTCTCCTTCAACATTGAGTTAACAATTGGCATTATGGATTGAAACATGGGCCCTTGCTATTTTGTTTCCTTATGTTTAACCTCTAATAGTATGAACTGGACTGGATGCGTGTGTTTCCTTTTCTCTTTATGTTTGTTATTTTTCTAAAGCTGCATTGTTTTCTAGGAAAGCTCGTGGTGATGAGGAAAGGATGCTGGCATTATTCTTTGACAGGGTATGCTCTGTTTCTTGCCCTATTGCCATCTTTGGTCAAGGAAGAATTACAAATCTGGTTACATGACACATAATTTAGCTTTATTACGTAACAAACTACTTGTTAACATAGCTTTGTGGAGACTCTTAATTTCCTCTGCTGGTAGAAGGTAGTTTGCCTTTTTGGTGTTTAACCCCTTCCTCTGACTCAACACAGATTGGCTGGCCTACATCATTGCCAACTAGTGAGAAAGGGTCATTTATAAAAAGTGTTCTCCGTGAGAAGGTAAGCTCATATTTCATCAAACATAAGTTCGCTTCTATATAATATATCTGGCCTTGGCACAAGTTAGCTTGAGCTGTTGCCAGGCTGGTAGTCTGGTACTGTTTTTTATCCTTTTCAGCATCACCAGACTCTGGAATTCACCAAACTTTTATATGTGCCAAATGTATTCAGCAAGGGTTCTCATTTTTCATGTCGTGCACATTGTCCATGCATGATTCCTTTGGATGTAACCTGAAAGCTGGATTACTTTACTTAATTCCTGTTGTATGCACTAGTTTCTCTCCTTGCTTTTATCCACTAGTACTTGGAACTAATTTCTGATTTTGACTATGATTTCAATCAACTTGACTAATCAAGAGCATGAATTTACCATTTACATCCAAATGGACTAGTGGTTCTCTTTCACCTGTTTCCATTATAAATATCTTTATATTGACTTCTTGGAGCAACGTTCTTGTTCTAGTTGAAAGCTTTGGAAGAGTTCTCAGCTTCTGATGGCTTACCACTATGGCCTGGAGTTGAAACGTAAGATATCAAGCTCCTGTTATCACTTTATGTCAAAAAAATCTCTCTATATAGATGATCCAGGAGAGTTTTTGCTATTATGTATAGGATGTTCTCGGGATAATCTGAATATACCTGTAATATGCAGTATAAAGTTCTTTGTTCCGATGCATAAAAAAATTTGCAAGAATTACAGAGCCGTTTTACTGATTGTGCATGTGTGGCTGTGTGGGGTCTTTGTTATCTGGATGAAGGAACAGAAGTCACAGCATATCGATAAAAGTTTTTGTGTGTTCTGATATCAATTCTGCATGATTGCATCAATCCAAGATCATTATAAGCTAATTATGTTTTGATCTTATGTATTCATATGTACAGCTTTTGTCTCTGTTCTGTACTCTTTGCTTGCCATAAAGATATCAATGACCCTGTCCTGAACTTTAAATGGCCTTGTGTCTGATTCTGTGAATGAAATCATTAAAGGTTCATTGATGATGCACTTAGTGAGGGTGTCCCTTTGGCCATATTGGCTGCATATGGGAGAAATGGAGAAACGATTTCAAGGTATGGACGTATGGTTTATATTAAATGTAACTACTATCAGCTCTTGTAATTTGTTTCAAACTAATGTGCCAATGTTATTCTATCAAGTTTAACATACTGCAATTGTTCCTAAGGGTAGATGGTATAAAAAATACTGTGTTCTCATTTCTTTTCTATTTGACTCTAGATCTATAGCTATGAAGCTGGGCCCTGAAAGAATCTCGAAAATAAAGATTGTTGGAAAAGTTGAGGTTGAAGAAAGCTTCTATGGGCAACTTGTTCTTGGTAAAGGAGTCACATCTGGTGTGGATGAGCAACTTGTCAGGGAAGCCCAAAAGGCTGGTGAGTATTACTGATTGAAAAGGTTGCAGCCTCTTCTATATAGTTTTTGCTTTGAGTTCAATGATCATTTTGTTGTCAATTCCAAATATTCTGTTCCCACAGCTTCTGCAGAGAAGCAGAGGATTGCAGAAGAGGTTGCATCAATCCTAAAACTCAGTGTTGACATCACAGCATCCGAAAGGTTGTTCCTAACACTGATTGTGCATAATTTCCATACGTCCTTAGAAGAATATTGTCTAATTTTGACCTTGTCACCGTTATCAGCTCTGAAAAGGTAATAGCAGCTCTCCGAGCTGGTTCTGAATATGTTGGGTGTGACGTGCAAAATTGTGTTCTTGTTGCGGGCAGCCAATCTGGTGTCCTTGCAGCTGAACGCATTGGCATGCCATGCATAGTTGTTCGAAGCAGGTAAGCTGCCTTTGTCTGCCATGTGACTTTCTTATCTCAACCATGATCCCGATGCTGCTTGTTTATAAAATTCATGTCTTCCAGCTTTACTGCAAGAGCAGAATTTCACTCTGCAAAGGCCGTTATGGATGGATTCGGGAACACAGACTTAACCGTTTCAAAACTACTGAGCAAAAGGTGGTCTTAATTATGTGTCTCTTGTGAAAATGAAAGGCTGGACTAGAGATTGTTATGAATTTGTAATTGATTGAGTGCTAACCGGAGCAAAGCTTTATGTAAACATGAGATGTTGCTGATGAAAGCTACCGAGTAGTAAAATGAATAAAATGAATAAATAAATTCAGGTGGCGCCATTGTGTACTTCTGGTTATTAGTAGCCTGCCTCCATCAAGTGTTATGCATGTTTGATGTGAAAACGACGAAATAAATAGATCATTCTTGCATTGAATCCGTGTAATGTATTCCAATATAAGCAGAATTATTCCAATATAAGCATAATTCTCTCAGCGTGGAAGGTTTCTTTATTTTTGTCTAGCAGAGGCATTGTGCTATCACTACTACAACATGGATTTTGTGCGGAAGGATTTCCATAGATGGTAAAAAACTATATACAGAGGCGCCAAGGCCATGATCTCTTTTAATTGCTATTTTAAGAGGTGGGATGAGTGTCCGCCTATGTAAAAATGGAAAAGAAATCAGCACCGCCAGTAGGATCCACCCTGTACGCACTTCTCTAGCAGTGTCTGCCTCCGCCTCTATGCTCCAACAAGCTGAGCGCTTCCTTAGTCTTCATCTCCTCCTATCTCTGCCACTCTATCTTACACATGTCCTTTCTGTAGGGTTCGATACCCCATCGATGTCTGTATGCACCAGTGCAGCATTGACCAAATCAGATTGAATGAATGAACCATGAATAAGTTGAATGGAGGTTTGGTCTGCACTGACTTGGTTGACAAACTCATGCGACGCGACACGGTGTTCGACGGCTCCAAATCTTAACGGCACACCCGCCCTCGCCACTGTGGAGGTCGTTGGTGCCACCACAGGTGTGGAGGCAATTAGCTGCTAATTGACGGCCGCTCCACCCAAATCCAGGCCGATCCGGATCCCAATGGCCTGCTCCGGATCCCAATGGCCCGCCTCAGATCCCACCCAACCAAAGCTTGAATTGAACGTAGAATGGGCTAGGGTGGGCAACCTCGAACTCAGCAGAGAAGTGACTAGGGTGGGTGACCTCAGATCCAATGCAGAAGGGGCCAAGGTGGGGTGGCATCAATGCTTAGGGAGAGAAGTGTGGTGGTTGCTATAGGTAGAAAGGTTTGTCGAGAGCAAACTAGAGGTGTGCAATAGATGGAGAAGTGGGGGTTGAACCCATCTCGTATTTGGTTATGGGGATGGGGTTCTCCCATGTTTTCTGTTTCGTTGGGATAAACAGGATGTAGGTTCAGATTCATGATACGTGGGTCCTGCACATACGTCATCCTCTCATCCCTTCTTCTTCCATGGGTCATCCTCTGCTCGTCCCCGCGCGGCTGCCCCTGCTCGTCCCCGTGCGGCTAGCCATGCTCCCCCACGCCCACGTGGCCGAGGGCGCATCTCCTTCGCACCTTGCGGCCGCCGGGCGGCCCTGCTCCCCCACGCCCACGCGGCCGCTGGAGCATCTCCTCCATGTTGTGCGCCCGTCGGTCGGCCCTGCATCCCTATGCCTGCGCAGCCGCTGGCGCATCTCCTCTGTGCCATGCGCATGCCAGCAAGCCCTTCTCAGTCGGCCCAGCTCCCAACTCCCGCGCGGCAGCCGACGCATCTCGTCCGCGCCATGCGTTCGCCAACCGACCCTACTCCGTCGGGCCAGGTCCCCAACGCCCACGCGGCCGCTGGCGCATCTCTTCCGTGCCATGCGTCCGTTGGCTGGCCCTACTCCCCCATGCCCGAGTGGCCGCTGGCTCATCTCCTCCGCACCATGTGCCCGCCTTCTTTGTGTTGTGCTTCAACGGGCTTTGGACATCCGATCCAAAATAGGGTGGGCTATGCAACCATCCATATCTGAAAATCAATTTTTAGAGGCGCTTGTTTTAAAAGGACCATTTATGTAAATGGTGAAGTCTCGGTTTGATTATTTCTACATAAACTAAAATCTACACCTTGGCTTCCACACAAGATCGAGTTGTTGGAAACTTAATTGTACGATGCAATTAGTAATAAATATATCAGGAGATATGAGATCAAGTGACAATAATATTGAAACAACCAATATAATTTCATAGTGTACCACCAGAAGTTATTAGCACATAAATGTGCAATATTCGTGGGTCTCCATATATAGTTTCCCATATATGTCATTGTTAGACAAATGAAATTGTCATCCACAACCACTATGTTCCTATCATGTTCTATCCATGGATTCTTATCTACCATTCCTAGCATGTTTGTGGTTCAGATATCTCTTAGCATCGCACTCTCTGGTCGTCCATGTAGTGTACATTCTAAGTATGGGAAGCATCTGGAAATAGGTGTGCTTTGTTCGGTATGGTGCAATCGCTCATCGGTCCTCTCGATTCTGCCAGTACATTTTGCATAGATGGTATTCCATGATGCTAGCAATTGATTTCTCTAGCCAGGGACATGTTGGCAGCCACTATGCTTCCTCAATTCAATCATCCATAGTGTCGGTGCCATCTACGGCCAAGGCAAGGCTAGGGACATGTTGGCTGCCACACGGGTTGACATGATGGCTGAGGCATGCGCGGTGGATGGGGTGCTCCTTTTAGACCATTTCTGCCAGAGCTGTATGTGCCCCGGTGCTCTACCTTGTTGCCCTCATTCCGTTAAGGTCAGTGCTGTTCAACTCCCCATAGAATCCCTGAAGCAGCACGAATTTTGGAGCAAGCTGATTTTGTTGAGCACACGAATACTAAATCAGATTTGCATGGTTCATATAGGATGGGTGCACACAAAGTATTGTGGTTTGGGATTTCTTGTTCTCCATCGGATCAAGGCTGGAACCCGTGTGCGCCTCGCCAGTGTTAACACTTGAACAGCTGGGACGAGACAAGTCTGCAGGACGCGTGCATGGGCCTGCTCAGGCCAGGGAGGAGACAAAACTGCAGGACGAGACCAGAAGGGCTGAGGCATCAGCAGATTCGTTCTCAACAGAAGGAAGGAAGTGTGTAATATGGACACCATGTGGCGTATATAGATCCAATTGTATGGCTAATCTTGGTTGTATGATTTGCACCAACATTTCAGCGAAATGTCCTTTACTCAAGCTCCCAAAATCAAGAACGGCAATGTTTGCTTTGGGCAAGAAATTAAAACGAGCTAGCTAGGTTTCTTCCTTCCTGAATTCGATTATAATTTATAAGTTGGAAACTCTTCAGAACCGTCCCCAACTGGCAATTATTGCTCCGGTAAAAGCGACAGGGCAGAAAATTGATGAATGGGCCAAATAAACTTACCTCGCTGTGCTATCATGTCCTATGCTAATCATTGTTCTCTCTCTGATCGTGCAATGCAATGAACTTTAAGTTCCCAATGCATATATTTCTTATATATGAAATTCTAGTGATACTTGGGCACTGTAGTCAGATCTTATCAAGAAGCACACAACATTATTCAGTTTTTTTAGCAGTAGTGAACCATATTTAGGCTTTGTGCGAATGTTATTGCTATAAAACAATATTTAGGCTTACTATGGGATACGAGAGCTTTGCCGAGTGCCAGGGGCACTCGGCAAAGCCCTAAAAACACTCGGCAACCTCTTTGCCGAGTGTTGCACTCGGCAACCGACACCTGGCAAAGATTTTATCGGCAAACGTTCTTTGCCGAGTGTTTTTTTTCGGGCACTCGGTAAAGACTTTGCGAGTGCCCAAAAAACACTCTGCAAATTTTTTTAAGGAAAATAAAAAAAGCAAGCACCGGCCGCCACCACCGGCCGCTCCAACGCTCGGCTGGCCACCACCATGCTGCCACTGCCGGCCGCCTCGCCCGCGCACGCTTGTCGGCCAGGACCGCCACTGCCGTAGGCCGTCTCGCTCGCGTGGGGGCCCGAGACACCGCCGCTGTGCGTGGTCGCCCACCGGGGTCAGTAGTGGTCCGCCCACACGTGGATCCGGTTGTCCCCACCATGGATTTGGCTAGACCCAAGCTCGCCGGAGCCGCTGCCAGATCCGGCCGCCACGCGCAGAGGGAGGGCCGCATCCGGTCGGGAGAGGGAGGGCCAGGGAAGAAGAAGGGGAGGGAGCGCTGGGGAAGAAGGAGGGGCGCCGGCGGGGGCTGGCCGCCGCCGGCGGTGGTCCGGGAGGGGAGGGGCGCTGGGGCGGGTTGCTCGGGAGGGGAGGGGCGCGCGGGGTGCTCGGGTGGGGAGGGGAGGGTATTTGACGGGATTTTTTTTGTTTGCCGAGTGTCCTAGATCTGGGCACTCGGTAAAGTTTTTTTTTCTTCTTCTTATCCAGTGTTGAGACTGGCGGTCTCAGACAGTGTGGAGGAGGTAGAGGCCTCCGCCTCTCAGACGGTGTGGAGGAAGTAGAGGTCTCCGCCTGCTACGCCGCTCCTCCCGGCGGAGGCACGGGAAACAAGCGCGATAGATGGGCGAGTAAGGAAATGGCACGCAAAACTAGGGTTTCATTAATTCTTGCCCCAACCACCAGCACGGTTACAAGTGTTCCCTATTTATAGGGCTCAACTACTTCCTGACGGAATTTATTACAATGCCCCTCAACCGCTACAGTACATTCCTGGAATATTCCGATGCTGGTCTCTCGTTTGCGGGGCAATCCTGTCACGCCGTCTCCAAGTAACGGGCCTCCATAAGCGGCCGGCCCACCGTACTTCGATCTTCAGCCCAAAGACTCGGGTTCCCGAAGCTGGCCTCCGTCTTTGGGGGCGCGCCGTCGCCTTGGCGGGTCTCCGCCGGTCCGATCGGAGACATCGTCCGTATGTCTCCGCCCGGTCGCGCGTGGGCCGTGGTTCCCGATGCTGGCCTACGTCATCGGGGGCGCGCCGTCGCCTTGGCGGGTCTCCGCCGGTCCGGTCGGAGACGTCAACCGTGGGTCTCCGTTCGGCCGCGCGGGGGCCATGCTGGCGCACTCGCGCGGACCACGGGCGCATGCGCTTGAGTACCTGCACACACTTAGGCAAGATTGTTTGTTTAATTAGTTCAGAGGAAAGGCGGCCTCCGCCCTCATGGTC